TCATTGGCCACATCTAACGTCAAAGTGGGTGGAGAAGTACAATCTTCCCAAGCACTCAGAAGGAGGATAATCAAAATTTGTTCGATAGCCCTAATGATTACAACAGTACAGCCTTATGTTCAACAAATATTTGTTTCACTCTTCTTATCACACGCAAAATATTCTTGCTCCTTCTATGAGCAGTTATTAGTCAGAAGAGATAGCTATTCCAAGCATCTTTCTAGCTCTTCCTACATCAGGGTGACTTTATTGTCAGGACTAATATTTATTCACAGATTAGATGCCTCTATATTAAAGGAAAAGTTTTAAAATACATTCTAAATATTATTATAATGCATTTTGGGTGGAATTTTTCAAATTTTGACTCCGTTCAAATAGTTTAAATATGTCTGAGTTTGTATAATTTTTACTATTTCTAGTGTTTATTATGTATAAACTATTATACATCTATAATATAGTTATGCAAATATGCATATAGATATAAATTATATAGATACACATAATTCCCAGAGAACAGAATGGTTTTTATCATTTAGAGAGACCTCATTAAAAAAAATTGAAATGACTTTAAAAATTACAACCAAAAAAATGAAAAGATAATTGGGGTGAGTGATTGTTATATGCAAATATCGCCATCAAAATAAAGGAGTAATTAAGGCAAAGTGCAAATAAGCAAACTGTTTCTTTTCAGATCCACGAGACGACTCGATGGCGGAGTCAAGGAACCAAATCTACATTTCATAAATATCTGTCCAGTTAGAATTTTTGGTTTTGTGTATCGTACACAAAATGACTCCATTACTGGGGAATGATCACTCTGTGACCACACCTTCATATTCATTAATTATATCGCTTTTGATACAGCAAACAGTTTTGCTTCCTAGAAGATATCTTAAGGGTCTGGCCATATTTAGCTGGCATTAGAGATGGTTTTGTGAAAGGGGAGTGCTAAGCAGACACTTTCTTACCTCTGTGTCTGGATGTCAAGGCAAACTACTGCTCCTTACAGTGTATGCTAATTATTAATCCCACTGACATGCCTTGTTTGGTCATTAATTTCTTTTAAAAAAATTTAAGATTGAATTCCAGTTATTTAGCTAGGACAATAATCATCGTGAGTTTCAAAGACCAAAATCTTCCCACATTTTTATGTTGAGAATGGCAAAGCACTTTCAGAAAACCCTACTGCTAAGGCAATGATGTATCACTTTCACTTTCATTATATGTTTTTAATCAGAGCGTGACTTCACACTAGACAAAGCGATGCTTTATGCATGGTCTCCCTTGTTTTTGCTAAAATCTTTTGACATGATTAATTTTACTTTAATGCTTTTGTCTTGTTGTAATGGTAAGGATGATGGGTATAAACCAGGCAAAAATACATGCTTTTCTATTATCATGCTTCTGAGCATTAAAAATATCTTAGATGAAAAGGAAAAAAAAAATCACAGGAGACTGGTCCGACTGGAATTAAATTTCTTGCTACCTGAACACAGAGTACATGAGATTAAAAAAAATGATTCCGTCATTGTTTTTAGTTTTATTTTTGGTATTTTTTATAGCAATTTATTCATCTGTATGATTAGATCTGAAGAGGAGGAGAGAAATTGTAGCTCCCGGATTTCTTGATCTCATTTGTCGCTTTGCAGCCTTTATACTTCCTTCACAGTCTTAAGGGACCAAAATATTAACCAATTCAATACGTGGTGTATCTGGATCAGATCAAGGTAAAGCAAGCCGTATTTTTCCATGATGACGCCTGGCATGGGATATAGGTTAGAGTTCAGCTGTACTAATTTTCATTCTAAGAGAATGGAATACAATATCCTTTGTCCAAATTACAGAAAAGCAATGATGTAGATGACTTTAAGAAGAAAACAGTAGGGGCTGGCCCTGTGGCTTAGCGGTTAAGTTTGGGTGCTCTGCTCCTGCGGCCCCAGGGTTCGCAGGTTCGGATCCTGGTCGTGGGACCCATGCACCGCTTGTCAAGACATGTGACAGTGTCCCATATAAAGTAGAGGAAGATGGGCACGTATGTTAGCCCAGGGCCAATCTTCCTCAGCAAAAAGAGGAGGATTGGCAGTGGATGTTAGCTCAGGGCTAGTCTTACTCACACACACACACAAAAGAAAACAATAGACCATTCAACAAGTGAGACCTGCCTTGTGAGCAGCTGTCCAAGTAATGATTCTACCATATTCACTGTTTCTTTTTTCCTTAATAAATGATGGAGTTGCTTACTCGTGTTACAAGAGTATGACACCTTCCTTTTTTCTACACAACCTGTCTGCTTGTTTTACTTGCCTCCTAAATAAATCCTATTACAATCAAAATATCGTCTAGCACTGTCCAATAGAACTTTAAGCAATGATGGAAATGTTCTGTATCTGCCCAGTCCAATATGGCAGCTACTAGCCACATGCGGCTACAGAGCACTTTAAAATATGGCTAGTATGACTGAGAAACTGAATTTCTAATTTTATTTCATTTTAATGAATTTAAATTTAAATAACCTCCTGTGGCAAGAGGCTTCCATATCAACAGCACAGCTCTAGACAGCAGAAAGTTATGTGAGGTGTCACATTCACTTAGAAAAGCTGTCTACCACCCAACCCTGCTGGTCCAAATCTATTTCCCTCTAAGCGAGAAAAAAAATAAGTGATTCCATGAAATAACTAAATTCAATGAACCCCCAATGAATCACATGTGAGCCCTCTTCTAGGTCCTGGGATTTCGCCTTTAGGTTTCTCATTCTCTCCCTCTAGAAATCCCTACTTTTTCGTTTAGGTTACCTGGTGCATTCATAACCAACTACCAAAAGCTGTGTGGCTTAAAACAACAAAAATTTGTTCTTTCACAGGTCTCGAGGCTAGAAGTCCAAAATCTGTGTCAGTAGAGCCATGATCCCTTCAAAGACTCTAGGGGAGAACGCTTCCTTGCTTCTTCCTAGCTCCTGGTGGCTCCTGGCAATCTTTGGTATACTTAGTTTGTAGCTTGATCACTCCAGTCTCTGCCTTGACTTCACATGGCCTTCTTCCCTGAGTCACTCCTCTGTGTCCCTGTGTCCAAATCTTCCTCTCCTTTCTCTTATAAGGACATCTGTCATTGACTTTAGGGCCCACCCTAACCCCGTATGACCTCATCTTAACTTGATTACATCTGCAAAGACCCTATTTCCAAATAAGGTTATGTGCACAGGTACTGGTGTTAGGATTTAAACATGTCTTTTTGAGGGACACAGTTCAATTCACTACACCTAGCAAATGACACACATATGGAAAAATATACAACAGACAGCTATTAGACACTTACTGTGTGCAAGACACATTCTAGTCATCTCACTTGCATTTATTCATTTAATTCTCACAACAACACTATGGTGTTAGGCACTATGATTATTTCTACTTCAGATGAAGAAATGGAGGCACAGAGACATTAAGGAATTTGCTCAAGGTCACACAGATGGTAAATGGCAGAGGCAAAATGTGTACCCAAATAAAGCTCCAGAGCCTGCACTCTCTTCTGTTTCTCATTACTGTGGTAATAACAGAGTGCACATTGTAAAAAGAGTTAAAGGTGAAGCAAGACTAGACAGGTTACTTCAGCATTTTATGCAGAATAAAATGGAATATTCTATGCACAAATAGAATATATTAATATCCTAAATATGCATGTTTATTTGTTGAACCTCCCATTATCCCCTTTGTTGTTAATTGAAGATTGAAGGAAGAGTATTGTATTGGGTTATTTCTAGGTGAAAATTATTCCAGAATGAAGTGATCTTCCCTTCCAGTGGACTTGCCTCTTCTGCCACTGCTTTCTGTGTGTACCTCCTCACTTGCAAAAATCGTAATTGTGAGATCTGTGCGCCAAGATATGATTTCCTAAAGAGAGAAGAGCTGGGCGTTTATGCTCTCTCGGTTGTCTGTTTTATCTTGTAGTAATGACGCCGAGTCCTCCTCAGTCTGTGGTATACTGGTAAATCTCAGATTTTCATTTCCTATTCATTCATAAATTTGTTTGAAGGTTTTCATTATTGTAATCATTAACCAAATATTGGTAGCTGCTCTTGTGTATGCATAAACATCTCCTAGGATTAAATTACTTCTTCCATTACTTCTTCCAAAGTTAGAGCTTTCATTTTTTAAAAAAATAATGAAGCATCCTCTTTTGTCTTTATTCTTGTCCAAAACCCAAGTCATTTTCCCCCCTGAGTGATAATCAAAAGACGTATGTCCAGATGAATTAAGGAGAAGTGTAGTGGTGATTTACTTTCAGTCTTATCATTAGATTTGCAAGGTTTGATATCCTAGATTGCATTTGACACAAATACATGTAAACGGGTTTCTAGATCTAATTCAGAAAACAATCCACAATGGTTCTCAGAATTTACATGTAACTCTAATGTCCGGTTCATTTGCTAATCTCAGCATTGGGGTTCCACCTTCCGCGCCTTACTCCAGCTGGTCTCAGCCCTGAACCGAAGAGCTTGAGCAGACATGAGTACACGATGAGGCCAGAATGGTGGCATTACCAAGCACTTTCACTAGATGAATAACCTTTCTTGACCTTTGGAAAATTTTTGTTTCCCTATACAGTAGTCCCCCCCCTTACCCAGGGGGAATACATTCCAAGACCCCCAGTGGATGCCCGAAATCACAGATGGTACCGAACCCTACATATGCTATGTTTTTTCCTATACATACATATTTGAGGTGTGAAAGCAAAACTAGCACAAATTTCTTTTTCCTTTTTCACAATTTCACAGATGAAGATTGGTTCTTACTGTAGATTTTAGCAACCTCAGCACACGGTTTTTCTTTATTAAGTTGAGAACGCTCACCCTTTCACTTAAAGGAAGCACTTTGTGGCTTCTCTTTGGCATATTCAAATTGCCAGCATCACTACTCTTACACTTTAAGGCCATTATTAAGTAAAATAAGAGTTACTCAAACACAAGTATTGACAATGCCAAGACAGTAGATCTGATCACCAAGACAGCTGCTAAGTGACTAATGAGTGGGTAGCATATACAGCATGGATACGCTGGACGAAGGAATGATCCACTTCCTGGGCAGAACACAGTGGGATGGCACAAGATCTAATCATGCTACTAAGAATGGTGCACAGTTTAAAACTTAGAATTGTTTATTTCTGGAATTTTTCATTTAATATTTTCAGACTGCAGTTGACCATGAGTAACTGAAGCCAAGGAAAGCGAAACCTCAGGTAAGGGGGGACTACTGTACCCTCTTTAAAAAAAGAAAACAGAAACATAAAATATGTATCTTTTTAAGAAGCAGCTTTTGTTCCTTTTACCAAATAAAGTTTAGTCATTTACAAATATGATAGCCAATGCCTGATTCTATCATGGTCTGAGGAAAGCCAAGGATGAGAGTTCAATTCCCTTTATAGCTCATCCGGCATCATATAGAGGGAATTCTTTCTCCACGCCACAGGCTGCACCCCAACCAGCTCCGTATAAGCATATGTGACAGCTGATAACAGAAGCCCTTTGAAAGAGAGGAGGAACAGTACAAATCCATTAACACTCCTGGAAAATAACAGAGTATTATGCTGCTGAAGGTAGGTTAGTAGCATCATCCTCATGCACATTGCTTCCGTAAGCAGAACTGATGGGACAGGGAGGGCACAAAGCAGTACCTTCTGAGGTCTTCTGTGTCCCACTTGTTTGTAGTATATAATATGTCACTTGACAGAATACAAATGTGAGAATATAAACATATTTCCCAGAATAAATAATTTTAATGCCAACTTTTCCTTTTGAGAAAATATGTTAATAGTAGTTTTCTGTCCAGGAATCAGCAAACTGTTTCTGTAAAGGGCCAGAGAGTAAATAATATGGGCTTTGCAGTGATAAGGTCTCCAATCACAACTACTCAACTCTACCATTGCGGCATGAAAGCAGCCATAGACAACACATAAATGAATAAGTATGGTTGTGTTCCAATACAACTTTATTTATAAAAATAGGCAGAGGGCTGGATTTGACCTGCAAGCCATAGTTTGCCAACCCTTGGCTCTAATTTAAGGACATACATATTTTATTCACAAGTCACACCACTTGGTAGTGAAACAATACTTATCATAGTAATCATAACTAACATTTATTAGACTGACTAAGCCTTTTACGTGTATTAGCTCATTTAATCCTCACAATAATCCTGTGATGCAAGTTCTATGACTCCCATTTTATATAGGAGGCACCAAGGCGTAAAGAGGTAAAATAACTTGTCCAACCCCATGAGCGAGAAGCAAAGCCAAGATGTGAACTCAGGTAGTCTCGCTCCAGAGATCACACTCTTAAGTCACAAGCCATACTGACTCTCAGGGAATATTTTGTGACCTTCGTCTTTAACTTCAGAGACAGACTCTGTTCTGAACATAAACAAAACGCTTTCTCTCCCAGCAACATGGGGGCAGACATTATATCTACCTTGTCGACAAACTCCACTCTCCTGCCTGGCTCATAGGACATAGCCCACTGACGCTGGGCAAATGCGGAATCAAGGGATTAACTCTCACGCTTGGCAGAGCCACAGGCAAATACCAAAAGTAGATAAACTCTGGCTTGTTAGCCATGGGATCTTTTAGGAGGTCATATACTGCTTGGGCTGAAACAATGTCAGCCTTTCAAAGATATGTCTAGCCCTTAAACATGTGTAATTACATTTTTTCTGCTTAATTCTATCTTTGAACTTGCAAATATCTGTTACGTAAACCAGCCTTTTTGCAAACTACACATGCAAAAGAAGTAAGAGATGAAAAGACAAGGAAAGAGAGTTTTCATTTTAGCATCACCAAAACAGTATTGTACATTTTAATTGAGCACTTACTATGTGCCCAGCATCATGTTAAACACGTTGTATTTATCTTCTTATTTGGGGCTCACAAGATCCAACTTTAAGGCAGATATAACTATCTTGATGAGGATAAAAAAAACTAAGGCTTAGAAAAACTAAATAATTTGTTCAAACTTACAATTAGTAAATGTATGAGTTAATATTCCAAGGCATGAATTTTTGACTCCAAAAGCTGGATGCTTAACTGCTATATGAGGCTGTCTCCATTGAGGTGCCCTCTCTCCACCTCTGTGGCTTGAGGCTAACATAGATGGAGATATTCTATGTGCAAGACATTGTGCTCTGCACCTTACATGGATTATCTCCTTAAATACTCAGAGTAACAATGTGAGGTTGAGATCATTATTATCCTTGTTTTATTGTTGCGGAAACCAAGATTGAGGAGAGTGTCCAAACTAGTTCATGGGGGAGCCAGATTATGAACCCAAGCAGTTGGCTTCAGAGCCTGTCTCTGAAACTCGACATTACACTGCTTTTATCTTGTCACTATGATTTTAAGGATAAGAGTGGACATGAATTGAGGGACCTCTAGGATAATGGAATTTTACGTGTTTGTTTATTGGATACATTTTTTCCTCAGAACCACCCTGAGTAATATCCCTATCTAGTCCTCACGATTGGAAAGCACTTTCAAGTCTATCCTTCACTGGGTCCCCATAATAACCCTGTGAGATAAACAGGTCAGGCATTATTTTCACTGTTTGACATCTGAGGAAACTAAAGTTCAGAGCAGTTAAGTGACTTGTCAAGGTCATGCAATAATTGATGAATTTGTGACTCAAACCCATGGCTTCAGACCTAATTTAGTTGGGTGTTCTTTCTATTAAGCCAAGTCCTATGAAACCTTATTAGGAGTTCTTTGACCCATAACTGACGTTATTTGATCTCTTTCTAACGTGATATTTTTTTTCCAAGTGGATTATTTAGAAAAGTATACATATCAGAAGCTTTTAATTCACTCGAGCCATTTTGCATGGAAAATAATTAACTCCTTGTTTGCAAACAATGGAGACATGAGAGCTCACAAGCTGCCGTATTAAAGCTGAAGCATACTTGGTGAATAACAGGATTTTAACAGGAAATGATTGCGTTGTTTAATAATGAGAGAGCTACTCAGAGAGATGTGAGCAAGGGCTAAGAACACCTCAAGGAGTAGTGCACTCCCCTCTCCTGCTCCCCACTGCTAACGCAGTGGGGCACTGTTACTACCCCTAGGCCTGAAAGGCAAGGGGAGAGAGAAGTTACCAGAACCAGAGGCAGAGAGGGATGTGTTGAGAAGACCATCTAATAGGACCTTCATTCAAACAAGAAACGCAGCCCACACTGACCCAGAAGAAAGAAGCTAGGGGAAGACACACCCTGACCTTCCTCTCCCTGCTCCCTCAGTCTTCTGAAGCCAAATCCAGCGGGAAGCCATAGGAAAGGGAGCCCCTAGACATGGTCAATACCATTGGCCAAAAGAACCCAGCAGGGTCATTGGGGTGGAGAGCGGATCTGCAGGGGCAATCCAAAGGTGCCTGGCATTCACTAGTTATGAAGCTGCCTTTTATTAGAGACCAAACTCTATAAACGAAAATGTCAAAATACAGATACATTTTCAGTTCTTTGGAACTGTAATACTAGTTTGGCTTACCCAAGCTCCTTAAAACTGAGCTGTTTTATATTTTCTACTGGGACTAACTGGCCCACTACCAAGTAAACAAGTTGGAGTGGAAGCAGGTAGCAAGGGGACAGTGACATGATTCCACCAAGCCTGTCCACCAGTTTCAGGTCAAGCCTATCACCAATACTATCCTAGGCCCATCCCCCACAGTCAGAGTGACCGGGAATGTATGTTTGACTTAAAAGGTGGATTACTTCTCTTCTTCCCCATGATTCTCTTTGCCAAACGAAGATGGTCTCCATGGTACAGCATTGTGCTTCCCACACTTTAATGTTACAAAGTAGAAATTAGTGGTTTGATTCACCTTTATCAGAAAGCACCAGTGGTTTGTGGTGAGAACTGAGACCACTGTCTTCCACAGGGTAGCCCCTGTTGGGCTCTGGGGGTTCCTTATTTACAGAGCACAGCTCTGCCACTGTATTACTCCTTCCATTTTCCCAGGTTCCTTTTGGTTACATTTCTATCTCTCTTTTTTTTTGTCATTGTCATTCATATCACGTTAGACTTGAGGCTCTGTTACTGATAAGGAAAAGGCACTATGTATCTGAGGGATGGCGTAGGTTTGAGCTGGGGCCTCCTAATTGTCACTCAATACTAAAGGAAAAACCATTGCCGGGAGGGTACACCATCTGTTTTTCAAAGTCAGATGGGTATTCGTGGATTTAAATGGGGGAGCTACGCAAATGGGCTCACTGTGCTTGTGATCTGAAGACAGAGAGAGACTATTGGAGAAGGCTTCCCCAAACTGGCATACACTGGAGAATTAAGTATTCTCACATTTTTCACCACACAAAGATTTTCAGATTAGTAACTGAGGAAGGCCAGTCACGTGAAAAAGAAGAGTTAGATTAATTAGCCATTTAAAATGAATGTGTCAATGTTGGAGGAGAGGAACCCTTCCCTCAAGTGAGCAGAAAACAGGTAAAAATGTAAATTTCCTGGGAATCAAGTCTGAACACATGCTCAGTGAATGTAAATGTCAATAACGAATCATTTTTAATGAGTATTATTCACTTCAATGAAAATCTAGTTTGAAAGTCATTCTTTTCCTTTCTTTTATCCCTTTTAGTAGATAGCTCCCATTAGGAGGAGCTTACCTCTTACCTCTAACCTCTACACGTTCTTGTGATTCATGGCACAAGGGCAGCAGGGCTGGCACACAACTGTTGCACCCCTGTGCCTCTCTAAAACTGCCCAAAGGTGTGTGTCACTCTACTAAGAAGAAGAAATGAGTATGAAGAAATGCCCAGGTTTCTTCTCAGCGGGATTTTAAATGTGGACTTTGCCACTTTTGTTGTTCCCTGCCTACTAATGTTACCTAAGTGTCCAGAGGCATGGAATTGAGGTTATAATTGTTAGAGTGGCTCAAAAAATTGCCAGCCTCAGAACACTAGCACCCGCATGGGAGGAAAGAGCCTTCTCTTGATAGAAGACACTTTGTTCTTTGCAACTATACTTTCATCTTGCTACTGTGCCATTCCACCATTCTCCAATATTTCCATTTAGTAAAACCAATGTGAAGAGGATAATATTAAAATACATGTGTTTCCAAGGGAGGAGAAGAGAAAGACCTTGAGGAAGAGGAGAGTAATGACAGTTAACATTGTTAATATGTGAGGAAGCTTGGCAGGCCTGGTTTTGTAATCATGAAGAACACAGAATGTTTTATTTGGCAACAACTTCTGGTCCAGAGAGCATCTATT